TTTTTTTTTTAGAAATAGCCTTTGTGCACAGCCAGCCTTGTACTCTTCTAGGTTCAAAAAACTGTCGTCCATAAAATGCGTTGCACAAATTCAAACATCTGGGTTGTGCTGTTCTGTTGTAAATAAATCTTAACCAAAGATTCCTAATTGCATCTACTTCCGGAAGGCCAAATAAAGTGCTTTTGCTTTCGCACTGAAATACACAGCGTCTCCCTGACATGCTGCATCAACACTACTGCTGTTCCTGAAACCACGCCTTCTTTCTTTGCGTGCACACTTGGGTGGCATTATGCTAATATTTCCACATAGTGACGTAGATATGTGGGGGCGTGTTAGAACAAGCCATTTTAGGTAGGCGTGGTTGACTCTTAACTTTTATAAAGAATATCTCTTTGGATTTGAGACTTTAGTCTTTGCAACTTTACAGATCTTCTTTATGCACCAAGAACTTGTAACACTCCAAAGAGAAAGGAAAAATTTAAATCGCATCATATGACCCCTTTAAAAGTATGATTTCCACTTGGAAAAGTCATGGAAATTTCTAGAATGTATATGACTTTTTCTAGCTTTGTCAAACAGAAACGGCTATTTGTGCATAATTAAAAAACAAAACAAACTAAAAAAACATTATCCAGTAACCATGAATGACTAGAAATGTCATGTAAATTAATTGTTTATAAAAAGTGTGAACCCAATAAAGACATTGTAAATAATTTTAATAATTTCAAATGTATTATTTTTAACACTTATTTTAATATACTCCTAGTTTCTTCAAATTAAAATGTTTGAAAACAAGAAGCTTTGTCATTACAGCATTAGCCTACATGGGTGGTCTTCTAATATTGTCTTGGATTATGGGGGGACTTGGAGTTTAAAATGTTGAGAACCACAGCTTTAACTAGTAGTGTAAAGGTTTATCATTAAAGGTAAATGAATGTCCAATGTCAGTAGCATAGCGATATACTGTACAAAGCACAGCTCACACAGAAAACACCTTTAAACCAAGCAACTTTCCAGCCACTTAAAAAAGAAAAACAACAAAATCTGTCTGGGGAACTTTTTCGCTCTCACTTGAAAATCCTGATTGCAAGGATTCCTATTGGAACAACTACGCAGATGTATAGTAAATGCGACTGCAGTTTGTAAAAATGAATGAAATATGTTTTATTTACCCATGTCCTGCTGCTCTTTATCATGTTTCTCTAAGACTTCTGAGAGAGCTTTAACATGGGCAGCTTGCTTTTTCTTCTTCTCTGCTTTCAGGACCTGTAATAAAAAATAAACATCTTAAGTTTAATAAGCCATTGTGTTACAAAATAAGAATGGCTTTCATTTTGAATCTCTTGACACTGACCTCTTTCTCAGCATTAAGTGAATTGATCTGCTGGATACATTTTTCAGTGAGTTCATTGATCTTCTCTTTGTATTCAATGTCCCTGAGGCTGAGCTGGTACTTGTTCTCCTCTTGGAGCTCTGTCACTCTTGCGTTCAGGTCCAGCATTATTTTATTCTGCAGGACGGTTCAACACAAGATGAAAAAGGCTGCAGGTGCTCTAGTGGTTTACAGCAGGACAGTTCTGTGTTCATTTTTCCAAAATGTTTCCTACATTTTCACTTAAACTCCATGTTTTAAGCAATGTCAAGATAGTTGAAAAACACAGTTACTGATTTAAAGAAGACCTAAAAACCTGAGCTTAATTTTATTTTCATTTAAGGATAACAATTTAAATCAAGAAAGTACAAAATTTGCTGATTTTTTAGTATAAAGCTTAAAATGACCAACACAAAGGAAAATATTTACTGATTACCTTTTCCTCAAGGTCTGATTTGGTGATGAGGATCTCTTCTGCATATATTAATTCCTTCTCTCTTTTCAACCCTTGTCCCTCTTTGTCAATGATTTTCCAGATAAAAAGACAGCTGTCTTCTGAGACCGTTATGAGGAACTGGTCATCAAAAGTGGTAACCATCTACGGACACAAGACATAAAAATATTAATGAAAAACATGTTTAACTTCTGACTAGGAGCTCACATTCCAACGAATTTTAGCAGTGCAAACCTTAGTGACAGGGCCAGCATGGGCCTGGTACTCTATCCAGTCATTCTGGAGGGGTAGAGGGTATTTGATGGCTCTCACAGTCCCAGTGGAAGTTCCAATGAAGAGCGCTCGTCCTGAACGAGACATGGCAACAGTGGTGCAAACCACATCACCTGTACGCACTTCCTTAAGGATCTGCAGCAAGAATATTAACACACACTTTTATCTCGAGGGATCATTCATGGTTCTGTTTGATCAAAAGCATTCAAATGTGCTGTGCCACATGAATGCGACAACCAATGACATTTGACTCCACTGATGATGCAATGTGTTGTTGTGAGGTGCGATATTTGAAAATGCAATTTCTGGTGAATTTGAGCTTTTTCCACACATAAAGCTATTGCATAGCTTCAGAGGGCCCTGAAATACGGTGTAATATGAGTAGTATGGACTATTTTATGGGGGTTTTATTCATTTTGGTAGTGTGAGTCATTATCCAAAAATGCTTGAGATTATTGGTAACAATGTACCTGCATAATATCTTCCATTTAAGGAATATTTTTGAGTTCAATATAAGTTAAGTTCAATCGACAGCACTTGCCACAAAGATGATTATCACAATCAATTTCAGTTTGTCTGTCTTTCTCTTTAAAAAAAAAAGTGTTACAGTGAGGCACGTGTCAAAGGAAGTGAATGAGGCAAATCCATAACTTTAAAATAATCATTGTTTCAATAATATAGCTACAAGGCATACATACTGTTGAAAAGTTTTCTTTTTTTTACAGAAATTTTTTTTTTCAGCAGGGACACATTAAATTGATCAAAAGTCAAGGTAAAACTATTGTAATATCTATTTTAAAATAAATACTGTTATTCAAACTTGCTATTCATCAAAGAATCCAAAGAATATTATGTAGCATAAGCGCAGTTTTAAAGACTGATTATAATAATAAAAATAAAATGTTTCTTAAGCACCCAGTCAGCATATCGGAATTATTTCTGAAGGATCATGTGACACTGAAGACTGAAGTAATGATGCTGAAAATTCAACTTTTCTAATAAATTACATTTTAAAAAATATTCAAATACAAAATTTGAAATAATACTTTTAATACATCTACTTCACCCAATTAACCCCAAACTTTTAAATCGCAAGCTTAGTGTGAAAAAATTGCTTACTAATGTATCTTGTGTAAAGTTACATACAATTTTAACGACTTGTAACCCACTAAAACCTTTAAATGACTGTAAAAATAACACACACATTTTAACTGAATGATGTTAGTGTTTTTATCAAATTATGAGCTTCATATTTCTGCTTTTAAAATATTCAAACATTTGTCCCAATTCACTTCCATTGTTTTATTTTTTTGTTTTTTTTTTAAAGAAAATGAATAAGAAGTTTAAATAAATATTTGTGGTACAAAACATTTAACCACAAATGCTGTTGATTAAGCTTAAGATGTATTGAACCCATAATATTCCTTTAATAAACATTACTACATTGTTCTAAACTAGTGTTTGTCTGTAGTTAGTTAACTCAGTTAACTACCTTACATCCTTCTGTCATGTCCTGGATTCATAGTACTAGCAAATTGAGAATTTAAAACATTTTAATGATAATATTATGCTCTGTACAGAATGGTGACACAGTAATGTGAACATATGAATAAGAAAACTATGGTAAAATAGGCTGTTTAGTGAACTAGCCATTCTAACCACATTCTGAAATACACAGAATATTGAAAACCAGTTAAAAACCCTGTGTTTAAATGACTGCATTAAAGTAAATCTATACCAATCAGAATCCAGGTCTGTGACTCAGATGAGTCAAATGAGCCTTCTGAGAATGTGCCCACCTGACAATCCTGGATTTCTTTCAGAGAGCAGTCTGTCCCGACAGCGAAGAATGTCTTTGCGTCAGGGGAGATGGTCACTCCTGTGTAGCTGCACGTCTTGAGGACGCTCTCAGACTCTCGCGCACCGGTGAGAGTATTCCACTCATACACGGCCCCGTCCATGCCACATGACACAAGACGACTGTCTTCTGCACTGAATGCTATAGCCCGCACCTGAAGCACAATAACATACACACTGTTTAAAGACTATTCAGGGAGGCAAAATTAGAGCAGTGGATTTCCGCATTAAAGATATCGTATTCCACAAAA